CCCCCTCGCACCCTTCAGGGACATACGATGGACGGGTGTGTGTGTGGTGGGTGTCATGTGTCATGGACGTATTTCCTCAGGCCTGCGGCCTGCTTCTGCTCGTAGCTGTGGAACGTGCTGCGCACACACAGACACACACACACACACACAATCCGACTCGTATGCCATCTCTCTCTCTCTCTCTGTGTGCTGTGTGTCCACAACCAAACCCCCACCTACCAGGGGTTGAGGTCCTCGTTGACGATCACCCGTAGGGAGCCCGTGTTGGACTCCGGCTGAGCGGGCAATGGGTGGTGCGGCAGCTGCTGGGGGGGCTGGGAGTGGCTGTGAGTGGTGTGGGTGTGGGGGCTCTCCTGCCGCTGACGACGGCTCTGCTCACGCTGCGGTGATGCCTCTTGCTGACGGGGGGCAGTGTCGTCCTGAATTCCATCCATCCATCCATGTGTGCAGGGGTCATGGGTGCGATTGGGTACCTACCTGTGTGGCCTCAATTCTGAGAGGTGACTGGTCGGCCTGCCGCTTGAGCCGATACATGTACCAGAACAACGCCCCGGCAAGAGCCAGCATCACCTGCACACACACACACAGAGAGAGAGAGAGAGAGATGTTTGCAGACATATGCCTGTGGGTGTGTTGTGGTGTGGTGTGCTGCAAAGCGTACGAGTGCGATGCCCGCGACGATGGTGGGCATAACCCACACGCGCTGATCGCGGTTGAGCGACTCAACCTTCACACGCACCTTACGGACCTCCTCCTCTGTCAACACAAAGAGGACCACACACAGAGGAGCAGACCCGTGTGCACATGGGCGCGCCTGTGTGTGAGTGTTTGTGTGCGAGTGTGTGTGTGCTTGCCTAAGCGTTCGAATGGCGACGTCGCGCCAAGGGAAGAGACCTCACCTGCAGACGACCGCACACACACACAAACAGGGAAATGAGGGACCATGCGTGTGTGCATCCCCCTCTCTCTCTCTGTGCGTGTGTGCGTGTGTGCGTGTCTTCATTTCATTCCTTCATACCGTCCTCACACGAAGGAGGCCCGGCAACGGCACCCTCATCTCTGAGAGGCCCGCCCCGTCTGCAGATGAGATGACACACATACGGTGGCTGTGGATGGACACGGACACACGTGTTTGTTGTCCGTCCTTACCTGTCCTTCATGAGGGTGCAGATGCCGTGTGTGTACGAGAACCACGAGCAATCGTCCGTATGCATACACGCCTCCTGGCAGCTGCAATCTCACACACAATCACACACACGTGTCTGTCCAGACAACAACACACAAAGAGGGTGGGCGCACCTGACGGCCGTGTCGGCCAGAGTGAGAGTCTGCAGCCTGTCGCCCTCATAGCGCACGTCAGTCTCGAAACAACCTGCTCATACACACACACAGACAGACAGCCACAGATACCCTGGTGGCCACCCACACCACACGAGAAGTCTCCCGATCTGCGCACTTGTCTGGTTGCCGCCGTCCTTGCCCACCGCACCAGACAGGGGATCTGCACACAACACACACCACCCACACCACACAACTCAGTTGCGCGCGCGTCCGTGATCTCTGAGGGCGGCTGACGTACCGGCGCGGCTGCCCAGCAGCAAAGTGGTGAAAGACACTAACGCGACCCTCCTCATTGGATGCGCTGCGTCGTGTGGCACTGCCAATGACTGCTTGAACCTTTTTCCCCTCTGCAAGCTCAGACAGCTCCAGACGCTGAGCTCGCATCTTGAGAAGGAGAGGCCGGACAAGGGCACACAGGGCAGACCAGACCACAGAAGGACAGCACCAGCACCACAGGCAGGTCATCGGTCGATCTGTGTGTGACACTAAATGTGTCACACATGGGAGGCTGCTTGTCTGTGAACGCACAACCAACCGCCGCCAACGACAACAGCAGCAAGCACCAGCACCAGCAAGAGCCGGACTGCCTGCAGGTACCAAAGGCAGACAGATGGGGCAGATGCACAGCACAATCACGGCACTGCACGGCAAGGACAAGGACACGCACAGATCCTGAGTGCATTATGCTTGCACCGGCAGACAGGCAGACAGGCAGGGCCGCAGGACGGCATGCTTTCTCTCTCCTTCTCTCTGTATGTCTGTGTGTGTGGTTTGCAGCCGCAGTCTGAGCTGAATCACAACAGCCCTTCTCTGTCTGTAAGCCGCTTGCACAGACAAGCATGAAATGAAAGAATGCGCCATTTCTCTCTGAGTGTGTGTGTGTGTGTGTGTGTGTCGTGCCAGGACAACCACAAGCAGCCGATCGTCGGTGACCCGTTGCACATGAAGGGGGTCTCTCCCACTCGCAAACAAGGCGCACAGGCACACGCAGCTGCTGCACACCATGTACGAGTGCAATTAGTGCGGCAATAACAGCCAGCCCACACAGAGAGAAGGCACACACACGTGTGTGTGTGTGTGTGCATCAAACAGGGCGAGAAGGAGAAGAAGAACAAGTTCGTCATCCAGCCCAACGAGTGAGCACCCAGCCACGCGCACACACAGCAACACACACACATGCGCATCAGTATCAACAATCTCTCTCTCTCTCTCTCTCTCTTGTGTGTGTGTGTGTGTCGCTGTGTGTGGTTCTATCAGGATGTCTGACGCGGCTGTCGAGGCGGCCACAGAGCGGCACCTGCAGGAGAGGGAAAAGACACACGTAGCAACGCACAGACACACACTGACTGACACAGACGGACAACACAAACTGACTGACTGTCTGTGTTGAGTGCAGCACGACCGTTCCCTCATCAAGTCGGCCCTCAAGTCAAACCTGGTGCGCTGTCATGAGATAATGACCCACACACTCGTGGATGGATGGATGGACAATGCAGGTGTGCTCTTCCCTGAACGAGAGCGAGATGGAGGCCCTTTGCGAGGTCCGTATGGTGCACACGCACACACACGGTGTGGAAGCATATGGGTACCTGTGTGTGGTGGGATTGGTATTGCAGGCGATGCAGTTCTTTGCCTACAAGAACGGCGAGGTCGTCTGCGAGCAGGGCAGCATGGGCAGCCACTTTTTTATAGTCCACAGCGGTCAGTCGGTACCATACCAAGAACCCAATGCAAGATGACGGTGCATCCACGCCTGTGTGTGTGTGTGTGTGTGATTTGGGGTATGTGTGCAGGCCTTTTTGACGTGCTGATCAGTAACAAAGTGGTGAACCAGCTGCAGAGGGGCAGGTGTGTACCACATCACATGTGGCCACACAGTAGCGCGTGGACGGACAAGAAATCCTGCAGGCATTTCTGATATCTATCGTTCGTGTGTGCCTGCAGGGGTTTCGGCGAGCTGGCGCTGATCCACAACTGCCCTAGGTACACACACACACACTTACACCGTCTCACTTATCTATGTGTGTGTGTTGATGCCTTCCTGCAGGTCAGCGACCGTCAAGGCGGTGCAGGACGGGCAGCTCTGGGGCGTGCAGGTGGGGTGAGGGGGTACAACAGATGGAGGGACAGATGGACTGAGCGACGGAGAGGTTAGAGGTTGATCTATCTGTGTGTGTGTCTGTGTGTGTGTGTAGAGGGCGACGTTCCGCAACATTCTGAAGCAGCTGAGCAGCAGGAACTTCCTCGAGAACAGATCTTTCCTTGGTTGGTACAGATCCGATTCTGTCTGCAGCTCTAGAGGAATGCGTGTGTGTGTGTGGCTTATATAGAGTCTGTCAAGATCTTCGATCTGCTGACTGAGGCCCAGAAGAACATGGTACGGTACACACGCCTCCAGCGCTTGTGTGAATGTGCGTGTGTGTCTGTGTGTGTGCAGATCTGCAACGCGCTGGTGGTTGAGACGTTCGACAAGAACTCCATCATCGTGCGCGAAGGTCTCACTCACACGCACACAGACACACAGACAGACAGAGAGAGAGTGTATCTCTCCCTCTCTCTCCGGGTGTGTGTGTGCAGGCGAGAAGGGCGACTGCCTGTACATCGTCAAGCAGGGCACACTCAACGTCACCATACAAGGCACACAAGTAGCTGCCTGACGCTCTAAAGTCACCTCACCTTACCACACCTAACCACACAAACACACGTATGTGTGTGGACAGGTGCGTCAGCTCGAGAAGGGCGACTACTTCGGCGAGAGAGCCCTCCTCTATGACGAGCCGAGGTGGGCACATCCAGACACCCATCAATCCATCCATCCATCCATTCTCTCTCTCTCTCTGTGTGTGTGTGTGTGTGTGTGTGTGCTGCTGTAGGTCTGCGACCATTACGTGCGCCACCCCTCAGTGCATCTGCGTGTCCATCGGGAGAGAACTCCTCGGCAAAGTGCTCGGTCAGTCAGTCAGTCAGGGAGCGTGTCAATCTTTTTGCTGTGGATGGATGGATGGATGTGTGTGCGTGTCTGTCTGTCTCTGTGGTATCGAGCAGGCAATTTGCAGCACGTGTTGTTCCGCAACATGATGTTCATCGCCCTGCAGTCGTCGAGCGTCTTCCAACAGTTCACCGACGAGCAAATGGCGAAACTGGTCCATAATCCCATCCACCCACCCACACACCGCCCCCCCACACACGCAGACACACATGCCTGTCTGTCTCTCCGTCTGTCTGTGTGTGTGCGATAGGTTGAGGCGGCCGCCGTCAAGAATTTCGACCCCGGCGAGACCATCCTTGCGCCCGAAACACACGGGGCGAAAGCAAAGGCACGCACACACACAGACACACACACACACAGACAGTGTGTGGCACTATGACTGGGCGCCTGTGTGCTGTGCTGTGCAGGGTGTCCGCTTCCTGATTGTGCTCGAGGGCGAGCTGAAAGTGACGGGTGCCTCACAAGGCAAGCAGCCAGCCACTACCGCCATCCATCCCTGTCAGTGAGTATGCGTGTGTGTGGTGTGTGCAGGCGAGCAGTCTCTGTCCCGTGGTCAGTGTTTCGGCGAGGAGTATGTCGTCAAACCCAACGTCGTCATGGCACACAAGGCAACCAACCAGACACACACGTGGAGAGAGAGAGAGAGAGTGAGACGTGGATGCATTGATGTGTGTAGGTTGAGGCGCGCACGGCCAGCAAAGTGGCGCTGCTGACGGCGAGTGCATTCGCCGCTTGTTTGGGGTCAAGTGACATCGACAGGTGCAGACAAAGACAAGACACACATACACGCTTGGGTGAACGGACGACGGACAGACACGCGTGTGTGTGTCCTCTTCGACCTTTTTGTGTGGTCAGCACATTGGATTACAACAACAAGCGGGCGGTCGTCAAGAAGAACTACATCTTCCGGTGAGAGAGTAGCACTCTCACACACGGACGGGGTCTCACGTGTACACGTGTGGATGGATGTTTCTATGTGTGTGTGCAGGTACCTGAGCGAGCAGCAGCTGGACCGGCTCATCAAGGCCTTCAGAAGCGTCAAGAAACAGGCAACCAACGCCCCAACACCCCCCCCCCCCCCC